TCCATTTTGCTGGGGAGTTCTAGGACAAGAGAAATCATGCAGAATGCCTTTGTCATTAAAGAATAACTCAAAATCTTTATTTTCAAACTCTCCACCATGATCACTTTTGACTTTGACGATTCTAAGATCCTTTTCATTCTGAACTTGGTTGCAGAAGGTGACAAACACAGAGTGTGACTCGTCCTTGTGTCTTAAGAACTTAACCCATGTCCATCTGCTATAGTCATCTACGATTACTAACCCATACTTCTTGCCACTGACTGAAGCAGTTTTAACTGGTCCAAATAAGTCAATGTGCAGAAGTTCTAATGGCTTGGAGGTGGAAACAACATTTTTGGATTTGAAAGCTGGTTTTGCAAACTTGCCTTTCTGACATGCTTCACACAGAGCATCTGAATTGAACTTCAAGTTAGGAAGTCCTCTGACCAGATTGAGTTTGTTAATCTGAGATATTCTTCTCATACTAACATGTCCCAATCTTCTGTGCCAGATCCATTGCTCGTTGTTAACAGACAGTAGACATTTTACATTATGACTTTTTAGTTTAGAAAGTTTTATTTTGTAAATGTTGTTTTTCCTCTTTCCATTAAATAGGATAATCCCATCTTTCTGACTAACAGCTTTGCAAGAATTTTGATTGCAGTATATCATAACCGTTATCACTTAATTGACTTATGGATAACAGATTATGCATTAATCCATCAACTAGTAAAACATTACTTATAGAGGGAAGATTTCCATTACCTACTGTTCTAGAGCCAATGATCTTTCCTCTCTGATTGCCTCCAAAACCTACGTGGCCTCCAGGCTTAAGTTCCAGGCTTTGGAACATATGCCTTCTTCCCGTCATGTGTCGTGAGCAGCCAGAGTCCAGGTACCATGATTGGTGTTTTTGCTTTGCTGCTAAAGATAAATGCCACATGTATTATTTTATCCTTAGGTACCCATATTTTCTTGGGTCCTGATTTGTTAGTTTTACCAAAACTCTGGTTGAATTTTGGTTTGACATAGTAATCACTACTTGTATATTTTATGTCATGTGTGTGCCCATATATAAAGTGTGAATCAAGTGGAGTACGTTTTATAACTAAATCCATGGCATTTTTTGGTGTAGGTACCTTACCTTGATATCCTATCCCTTTTCTGCCATTCCTGCTAACTCCATAGATCATTGAAGCCATTTTGCTTCTGTCTATGTTTTTAGCTAGAAACTTCTGAAAGCTGTGATCATACTCCTTGATGATCTCATCAGCATTGCTGGGAGTTTCAGGGATTGTTTCCTTCTGAGAGTTTTACAATTGATTTTCTAATTTTGAAATTTTATCTTTTAACTCAGAATTCTCCAATTTGAGACTCTCAGTCTTATCAGAGTCAGAAGCAAGATTCCTTTTCAGGTTTCTGAATTTGACTCTGATCTGCTGATATCTTTCTAGAATTTCATTAAGGCTTTCAGCTAGTTCAGCCTTAGTAAAGTTTATAGTAAATTCAGGGAATACCTCTTCTGTATCTGATTCAGATTCTGACTCAGAAGCTTCACTGTCTTCTGTTATGTTTTCCATGAGAGTTATGTTTTCTCTTTCATCATCTTATTCTGAGTCAGCTTCAGATGTGTCAGAATCATCCCATGTAGCCATGAGACTTTTCTTCTTTTCCTTGCCAAACTTCTTTTTGGGCTTTTCCCTCTGAAGCTTTGGGCAATCACTTTTGTAGTGCCCTTGCTCGTTACATTCATAGCAGATGATGTCTTTGTTGTTTGGCTTTATGTTTCCTGAAGAACCTTCAGATCTTCTGTGACCAGAGGAGGATTCTGACCTTCAGTATCTGGAGAAGGATTCATTCTGATTTTCTGATCTTCTGGGATTCCTGAACTTCCTTTGCCTCTGCTTCCACAATTGGTTCATCCTTCTGGAGAGGAGAGATAGTTCATCTTCTTCTGATGAGGACCCATCAGAGGTTTCTTCCACAGCCTGCAAAACTTTGGAGTCAGATTTTCTGTTAGATTTTAAAGCTAATGGCTTACCTTGCTTTTGAGGTTCATCTGCTTCTAGCTCTATCTCGTGACTTTTGAGGGAGCTGACAAGTTCCTCCAGAGAGATTTTGTTGAGATCCTTGGCTAGCTTAAGCGCTGTGACCATTGGCCTCCATTGTTTTGGTAAGCTTCTGATGATCTTCTTAACGTGATCAGCAGTAGAATACCCTTTGTCAAGAACTTTTAGACCAGCAACAAGAATTTGAAATCTTGAAAACATAGTTTCTATTGATTCACTCTCTTCCATCTTGAATGCCTCATACTTCTGAATGAGTGCAAGGGCTTTGGTTTCTTTGACTTGAATGTTGCCTTCATGCGTCTTTCTCAGAGAGTCAAACATATTCTTTGCAGTGTCTCTGTTTGATATCTTCTCATATTCTGAATAAGAGATGGCGTTGAGAAGAATTGTTATGGCCTTGTGATGATTTCTGAACTCACGCTTTTGCTGATCAGACATTGTTTTCCTGTCAATCTTTTGACCACTTCCATCCACTGGGTGCGTGTATCCATCAGTCACCATGTCCTACAGATCAGCATCATGGGCCAGAAAGAAACTCTCAATTATGTTTTTCCAGTAGTCAAAGTTCTCTCCATCAAAGACTGGAGGTTTGCCACCAAATATGTCTCTTTCTTCATTGTTGTCATTCCTGATGTTTTGATTTGGTCCTGCCATTGTGTTTTTCTGACGCTGGATCTTGTACTGACACGGTTAAGTGTTATAAGCTCAGAACCAGGCGCTCTGATGCCAATTGAAGATGTGAAAAACACAAGAAGGGGGGTTGAATTGTAAAACTTAAATCAAATGCTTAGACAACAAAGTATTTTTATCCTAGTTCGTTTGATCTCAAACTACTCCAGTCCACCCGTCAAGGTGATTTCGCCTCTCTCCAACGAGGTCTTAATCCACTATATTCAAAGGATTACACAGCTACTTTAACAACTGTTAAAGCCTTCTTGAGTATAACCACAAACTGGTTTATCTCAAGGAAATCTTTTACAAATAAAACGAACAATGATGTGTTTAACGTTTTCTAATAAAACAGTATATCACAACTGTGATAATACACAATTTAAGCTTGGAATAAAACTGAATTTGCTAGAGCGTTTGAGTAAGTGTGGTTTGGAAAGCTTGGCAAATTCTATGAGTGCATGCGTGTGTCTTTTCTCACACAGACTTGTTTATATAGCCAAGGCAAAGATACGTTGTCCATAAAGCCATTTTAATGATAATAACGCACTTTCCTTTTTGAGAAGATCTTGTCTGAAGAGAGACGTTAGCATTAACTTCTATCTTGAATACTTAGTACGTTTTAGAGTCTTCTTTGCTTATGGTGACGCTACTGAGTGCTGATGACTTTGGTAAAGATCTTTGATCAGAGTCAGAGTGTATATGTTTATGCGCAGATTCTGGTCATCAAGCTTCAGCGTATGATCTGGTAGCTTCATCGTGTAATCTGGTAGCTTCAGCGTGTAGCACATGTTACTGATCTTCTGATGCTGACATATTACTGATCTTCTGATGCTGATTCCATCAGAACTTATGTATATATAAAACATAACTTTAAGAAGCATATTTGTTCTATATATATATATATATATATATATATATATATATATATATATATATATATATATATATATATATATATATATATATATCTTTGAATTTATTTATTCTTTGTATTTTGTTATCATCAAAACTCTAATTAAGGGTTGTAGAATCAAACTATGTTCTAACAATTCCTGCACCATTAAACCTCATGAACATGTTAGCAAAGTTAGTATGCGAAAAAACATAATGAAATAAAAGATATGAAAACCATGCAATGATGAGACCGGTGATACATGCTCATGGTGTTTCTGGCCTTTTGGATCGTTGTAAACGATCCAAACTTATCCTATGATCTTCCTGGAATCGATTGGAATGACTGATGTCATACCCCAAATTTGTCCGCCTTAATGTTACCGTCAAATTTATTTTCAAACTTGGGTTTTACCGAGTATAAAATTCCTTCGATTTAATTATATTAACATTCTGAGGGTTTTTTAATAAAAATTCGCTTCCAAGTCTGTTTGAAAATATAATAATAATTTATAAAAATAACGAATAATTGTTCGCTGTCATATACTTTCAATTGACTTTTTACTTTTGAATAAGTAACATAGCACAATTGGTAAGGAAGAAAGACTGACAAGCAGAATGTTACGAGTTTGAATCTCACTTGGTGCACTTTGGATATTTTTGCTGTTTATTGTTACTAACTTTATTTTCTAAACACAAAAAGCATATTTTTTATTATTAAATTATCATTTTCGTATTTATTTATTATATTATAAAAATATTATTTTTTATTAAAATATTTATTTTATTTAAAAAATAGTCAAAATACTTTATAAATAAATTTAGGCTTTGGGTATGGGATAGTTTCTCTTTTGGGGGTGTCTTTAACCTAATTTTCACTCTATAAATTTTTCATCAACAAAAATCCATAATGAACTCATAATTCATCCATAAAAACTTACTCTTTTATTTTTATTTTATATAATTGTCGTTCTTAGGGTTGTTGTCTATATCAGACAACAACAACAATTTCTTTATTCTTGACCAATGATTGATTTTATATGAGGCCTTATTCTTTGTTTTTAGTTTCATCTTTATTTTATTTTTTTCATCTGTTTAAACAACATAATGATCTTATTCTCTGATGGTTGTTTCAAAATTATATTTTTTAAAATCAGCAATTTCCATTCACGTTTTTTCTTCCACCGTAATTATGTTTTTCTGTCTTTTCTGTACTAATTTCTACTTTTCATACATGTAGAGAACTTGTAGAAAACATATATAGGAAAATCATCCCCTTCATGTAGCATATCCTCCACACACAAACTAACGTACACACGAAAACCGCTACTTTTAACCAAACACAATCGTGAGGTAACCTAACCTATATTAAATCCCAACCATTTTCTAATGCACCTCCCGGAGTTCATCCAAGATCAATCAATACAACTATTCAAGGAAGATGAAGAACACTCATTTCCAAATCCACCACGGAACACCTTCGGCCGCGATATCGTCGCTGTAAATCTCGCCAAAAAATCACCCAAACTAGAACAACTCAGACTTGTCGAAGAAAGACTCGTGCGCCTCGACGACCTCCGTAAACAGCTGCACCAACAATATCCACCGCAGCCCGTGACTCCATCATCCATGTCGTTGAAATCGCAGCTTCCCCGAGTCCCTTCCATTCACCACTTCCAATTTCAAATCGAAGCCATTACGGGTCTATCCATAACCTTCAGTGACGACAATAGACTCTCCTTCACCTGCTCCGACCAGATCCTGATGGAATCACACGCTCTTCTCCAATACTGTGGTTTTGCGAGAGAAGTACTTGAGAATGTCAGAAATGGAAGAGATGTTCAACGTGGAGCAGAGAAGGAAATAAATAGTATCAATTTCTAACTTTTATATTATCTCTTTTCTCATAGTTTGTATTATTTTTAATTTTTTTTATTGTTATGCCAAGTGTCATGATAGTATTGGTATGAAAATGGCCAATTTCTACAATCAGAAGTGGAGCGCCCCATCTTGCTGCTACTAATATGTATAATTCTTTGCCTTTTTTTAATTTTTGTTTAATTGTATTTATCATATATTTTTATGGTTTAGTTTTGGGCTCTTGGGCCCTTACTCCTTTTTACACACCTTATCCAATTCACACCCCTAAATCTTAACTACCTAATTTAGATAGTCTTATTAAGTCAAGTGAATTTGAAATCACATTTAGTTTCTCGATTATATTCCTAACATCAACGTACATAAACTTTTATTTTTAAGTAAACATTTTTTTCAAATAATTAATTCGAACATTCTATGAATAATAGGATGTCTATCTTCGAGTAATTAAATCGGTTGACATGTCGTCTATCGGTTTATTATACTAAATCAAATAATTGAAATACACACAATTCTTCAAATATTCCACCTACGAGCAACACGTGGTCAATATCTGGCCCCGTGATGAGAACGCGTGGTGAGGAAGACTATATCAGACTTCCTCTGCATCCTTCATATCGAGTAACATGTGGTCAATATTTGGCCCCGTAATGAGAACACGTGAGGAGGAGACTATATCAAACTCCCTGCTCCACGTCATAATCAAATCAAATACCAAAATAGCTAACCAACTATAAACTATTTTTTATACTAACATAATCAAAACTTAAGATTATTTTCGAAAAAGGATTAAGGAGAATTATTTTCAAATTAACTGCAAACTGCGTCTACAATCATTCAATTTACAACCCAGACAAAGTTCAAGGATAATTCAAAAAACAATTCTACGCAACCCTATAAAAAAACACCAACCAACTGCGAACTACGAATTGAGACTCTGATTCCTCATAAGAGGATACGTAGGCATACGATAAAAAATCGTAGAGAGTTCCCCTATAAAAATTTTAAACCTTTCCCCTATAAAAAATTTAAACCCTTCCCCTAATAAAATTTAAATCCTGTTTCCCCAACTCAAACCTAAAATCTAGTATCCTTGTGAACAAGGTAGATGAAAGGTGCCTAACACCTTCCTTTCGTCTAATGAAGTCCGAAACCTAGAATCTTTGTCTGCGAATTAGGATTTTATGTTAGATTCCCTTCCCTAGGATAAAAACTAATAGTGGCAGCTCTAATTAAAAAACCAGTCGCAACAACTGGTATATGTTGAAGGTGGTTGAAACTAGGTTTCTAAGGTTGCCCTAGTTTTGAGCTGATTTTGTGAATTTTTGGAAGTTTCTTGCACAAGGTTTCAAGGTTAATGGTTTGTATGAATGAAGAGAATATATAGCTTGAATTTAGGTCAGAATAACATGGGCTTGGACTCTTGTAATAAGCCTTGATCTTATTTTGTTTTATTTTGAATTTTAAATAATAAAAATAAAAATAAAAATAAATAAAATCTAAGGGGTGTATGAGTAAGATCTGAGGTGTATATGAAGGGTAGAACATGTTTGGTCTTTGAAACAATAGCCCATTAGCCCAAAAATCCAAGTTTGGTCACTTTAGATTTCATGAATTTGCTCAAAATTTTCCAACTTGCACTAGTTATAACTCTCTCAATTTTCATCATTTGAAGGGGATCTTTAACTTTTCGGAAAACCCAAGATGTCCTCTAAAATCTCTATTTTAATCATTTTTACATTTGAAGATTTATCTTGATCTAAGTTATCTTAACAAAAAGTGTCTTTTTGTTAACTTTTGAAATGACCTATAATGTATTGGCCCATACCTTTCAAATTAAGAATTTTTTGGACTTGAGATTAGAGAGACAAAGTTGTAGAGAATTTGATTTCCATCAAAATGAGCTTTGGTTGAGAAAAATCTAATGAATTATGTGAAAGTTATGCTTGGTCAAAGTTCAGTTGACTTCTCCTAAAGAAAACCCTAGTTTGGCAACTTTTGACTTTTGATGATTTGAGAGTTTTTCTTGATGAATCATGATCAACCTTTGATCAAATGATGAATATCACTTAAAAATGTTGATGTTGACCAAAAATCTTGAGGTTTAACTATATGTTGACCATAATTAACTTTTTGTCCAATATAGTTGATTTTTAGTCATCTGAGCCATTGACTGAGCAAACTTGTGATACAGAGCATGAAACTTGGTATGATCATTCTTGAAGACATATAAGAAACCATGAAATCCACTTGAGACCTTAGAAACCCCATCTTCCTTGAGAAAAGTCAAACCCTAATTGTAAGCCCATTGCTTATGAGGAGAATTTGTCTAATCCATTCTTGAGCATTTGAAAACCCTAGGAGAATGTCTTGTAGAAATGGGAGGCCAAATTTTAGGATACAACATCTACCCATGTTCAATCTTATTAAACCCGAGGAGTTAGCTTGGCATGTCCGCCATTTGTGATCTGAAGGTGAAAGTGGATTGAACACCTAAGTGCCCAGAAATTTGTACTCGCATGTGCCAGAGATGACGTTGTTGGTGGATAATATTGCTTGAATGAGCTTAAAGATGCAATTTGGAGAGGTGATAGAATGTCGTCAGAGATGGACTTATAGATGCCATCCAAGTAACTATTGATAAGAGTATCAAAATGAGTCTATGCTTGACTATATCTAAAGAATGCTTTCTAGAATGAACCCCTAAGGAAGGTGCTTAAGTAGCTTCTTGTTAGATTTAGTATATGAGGGAAATACTTGTCAGATTTAGTCTCTAAGGGAAATGCTTGTCATGTACATAGTCGCTCCGTCCTGCTTTAGGAATTGATCTACAATCTGTTTTTTCATTGGTAAACCCGTCCTGTTTTGATAATTCATACCACCTGGTCATATTGATAGTTTTCCTGTCCTATTTTAGGAGTTAATATTTGCTCGATTATATAGATAGTTTCCTCATCCTATTTCGGAAATTAATCTTTGCTCGGTCATATAGATAGTTGCCCCATCTTGTTTCGGGAATTAATTTGCGACCTGCTTTTGTTGGTAAACTCGTCCTGTTTAGGGAATTCATACTTTCTGGTCATATAGATAGTTACCCTGTCTTGTTTTGGGAATTAATCTGCGACCTGGTCATATAGATAGTTGTCCCGTCATGTTTCGGGAATTAATCTCTGACCTGTTTGAAAATTGCTGATGATGTTCGTCTGTTTATAGACTTTTACCTGAAAAGACATAGTTAATCTTTATGCAATGTCATGATGTATGTAATGCATTGTGTAATGATGTTCTCAAAGTGAATGAGAGTGTCATATCCGTGTCGTATGCATATGTTATGATATTTGTAAATGATGTATGGATGTAAGATTTCGTTGAAGCGTGTTGGTAGCTTTGTATAACATCTTTGACTGGGGAAAATAAATCCCTGACTGTTGTTGGGGATGAATAATATGAATCTTCAATCTTGTTTTAGAATGTCTCCGCTAGGGATCCCTGCTTTTTGTTTTGAGGATACTCCACTGGAAATGTTTGACTTCCGCTTGGGGATAGAAGAGCTTGGGAACATTGGTCGTTTATGCTATACTGGGGAGTTTAGTTCTTATATACCCTGACTGAGGATAAAAGAGATGGTTAACCTTCTGAGGTGATGTATGACCGAGTTTCCAATGTGGATACCAACTCTTCTGAGGAAGACAAAGTTTAAATGATATTTGGCCCGACTTCAGATTCCACAACAGCTCTTTGGGGATAATAACCTTGACTACACTTTGGTGGAGAAGAGAAATCTATCAGGGATTTGCAGTAATTGGAAGAATGAGATTTGCTTGGGAAATTAAATTTTGTTAGGGAAATAAACCCTGCTGAAGAAATAAACCCTCCCGGAGAAGAGAATTTTGCAGGGAATTTTGCAGTGTTGGAGAAATAAGCTCAGATGGGGAATTAAATTCCATTGAACCGTGCTGAGGAAGCAAACTCTGATGGGGATTGGAATTCTGTAGGCTGTGCGGAGGAAGTTTCCACTATATGTTGGAGCAATGATCAAACTCCTTTATCTGCAAAGGGGATCTGCTGGGGAGTATGGTCACGTTAATAGTTGGAAGATACCCCAATTTCTGTCTTGAAGGCATATTAGACTTGCAGGGAATGTATCTTTGTTGGGGATTTATAGACGACTTGAACGATATCCAAACTCCTCGAGTTTTGAGTAAATACTTATTCCTGTTTTTATGCATATATTTGTTAATAGTAATCACATTCATATGCTTGTGTTCATTCAATTTAGTCATTGGACGTTTTTGCAAACAAAACAGAGAAAGTAAAAACAAAGTTGAATTTTGAAATTGACTTGCATTGGTAGTTTACTTATAAACAGGAAGTTTTGTACATAGAGACAAAGATCCTAGTAAGAGGAAATCGTCGAAAAATGAAATGAGTACAAAGTAAAACAACAAAAAACATCTATGTGGAAATAGTCCTGTAAAGTTTCAAATCTACCATTGCACATATGCCTTCGAGTATCTCATCCCTCGTTGTTGAAAGAAGTTGACTGAATTGATCTGTACCATTTGAACTTGACGTTGGTAATAAAGCTTGTTGTAAGTAGATGATCTAACGGACATAGTCATACGCTTTAATCCCTAAATTTTGCCTGGATCGCTCTTTTGGGTTTTCAGTTCACCGGGATACCTTTTTTTTCCTAAGCCGCCTTTTCAGGTTTTCGAATTGCCAGGTGTACAAATCTTTATATATATCCTTAATTTTTGCCCGAACTCTTTTGGTTTGCTGGGATGCCCTTATTTTTGCCTAGGCCAGTCAACCGAGCAGGTCACTTTCAAGCGTAGTATTTTTTGACTATGTCCGCGTTTACAAGGTGCGAAAGATCTTCACCATCCATGGTGGTAAGTATCATAGCACCGCCAAGAAATATTTTCTTGATTACAAATGGACCTTCGTAGGTGGGAGTCCATTTTCCCCTGGGATCACCTTGCGGTAGGATGGTGCGCTTTATT